GCAGCAGCAGCAGCAGAAGAAGAAGAAGAAATAGTAGCACTCAGTAGTAGTAGAAGTAGTAGTAGGAGGAACAGGTGTAGTATGTAGTATGTAGTGAAGCGGGAGCAGCAGCAGCAGCAGCAGTCGTACTTCTTGCTGTCGTGGTGGCTGGATTAGGAGTCGTGACCGTCGTCGTCGTGGTCGTGCACCGTGGTTGTCGTCGCCGTGGTCGTGGTCCTGATCATAGTGGTGGTAGCTGTGCTGGTGGTGGTGGTGGTGGTCGCCGTCGTGATAGTCGTGGTCGTCCGTGTTTCGCCGTCGTCGTAGTTTCAGAAATACTGCCAATACAGCGATATTGCAGCAATAGTTGCCATATCATGGTAACAAATTGTGACAACACTCTAGCCATGTAGTAATAAGGAGGATGCTATTAGATGCGGAGGGGTCGCGAATCGTTTTTTGTCGGAGGATGGCCTGCTAAGCAGCCCCCTTCCTGGGCCAGATGCGCGTATTTGGGTTTCAGGACTGACTAAGGGATAGCAGGAACGGTGGAAGCTTTCAGTTCCGTATGTTCCGAAGAGAGCAGGTTGCTTATGTTCTGGCTCAAGTCAGCCGTTTCACATGTTTGACGCAGCTGCCACAGGGCAGAGTCGCGGCCAAAGGTGTCCGATCAAGGGTGGAGTGCGGCGGAACCCTAAACCCTAAGCCCTAAGCCCTAAACCCTAAACTCCTAAACCCCTAAACCCCTAACCCCTAAACCCTAAACGGGAGACCTCAAGCTTTTAAGCCCACCCCAGCTTTCGGAGGTCTACTGCAGGATCGAGACGACGGTGGAGGCTGTGGTTCTGCTCGTGCTCGAGCCGGTGCTGAAGGGTGGGGTGGCCCAGACTCTAGGAAGGCTTTGTTCTAAAGCAGCCCGAAGAAAAAAAGAGTCTTGGAAGGTTTTGATTAAAAACATGTTGTAGTATCTTATAGTACAGTGTATCATACTATTTCTATAGTATAGTATATCATACTCTACTATATTTTTACTATGGTGCATCCCGGGATGACTGCAGGCTTGCCCTCCCTCGGCGTTCCTTCGGCCCGTGTGGAAGCACGTCGTGCAGCCGGGCTCCCGAGTGCTGTCGGAGTCCTTGGCGCTTGGGGATGACCCTGAAAGCCTGAAGCCCTGAAACGCTGAAAGCTTGAAATCTAGGGTTTAGGGTTTCGAGTTTTAGGGTTTAGGGTTTAGGGGTTGAGGATTTAGGGTTTAGGGCTTGCAAGCCTGAAAGCCTGAAACCTTGAAATCCTGAAAGCTTGCAACCCGGAAATCCCGAAACCTTGAAATCCTGTGGGAACCCCACCCTTGGCCATGGTGAAAGCCTGGTCTGGTCCGAGGTCGGAGAGCACGGCACGGCCGCTGCAGCCGTGGCGGCCTTGCTTGCTCAGGCAGACCGCTGAGGGGTTTGTCAGGGTTTAGGGTTTCAGGGTTCAGGTTTTAGGATTTCAGGACTTAGGTTTTCAGGCTTTAGGGTTGCAGGGTTTCAGGATTTCAGGATTTAGGGTTGGCGAAACGGTTTGGAGAGAGATCATACCCTAAACTCTGCAGAGCGAATGCAAGAGCCTTCACAGCCCTACTTAAAATAACTCTTGCAGACCAGACCCCCTCTGGCCCCTAAACCGGTAGAAGCAAACGTCGCTCTCTTCCTCCGGAATTCCTGCTCACTCTTTTCGGCATGCGTGGTAGGGAAAGGAATCAATCAAAGAGAAGATTCGACCTTGTCTTTTTCAGCAGAAGAAGAAGAAAAAGAGGGGAGAAAGACAGGGCTGCAGATCACCGATCGGATACACAACGTTTGAGGTCAAAGAGCACGGGCGTTTCGCCCTTGACGCATTTTCAATTTCCAGATGTTTCGCATCGGATTGGTTGCACCAGCGCTTTTCGTGAGGTTGGCTTGCCCTAGACCCAGAAACTAAGCCCAAATGTCATTTTCCCTTAGCCCTACTGCCTGCGGCTGCAGGCAGAAAAAGATGATGGGGAGTGCGGAATGTCCCAGCGCGTTCTTCGCAAGGCCAGGCACTTGGATGGCAATGCTAACGGTAATCGTAAGTGTTTCAGCACTACTAGCATCATGAGTTTCAATTACTGGCTGTGTTATTCGTTCATACATACCAGTACACATATGAAAAAAAACTATTATTGCACTCGTCTCGTTCATCTTTATGCTCCTGATGCCACTGTTATAGCAAGTTTCCGTCTTCTCCTGTTTCTTGTTCTCGTTGCTACTAAGCCCTAAACCCTAAAACCCTAAACCCTAAAACCCTACGGCCTAAACCGTAAACCCTAAACGCTAAACCCCTATCGCCTAAAACCCTGGCACAACCCCCCCCCTTTAGAATCTTCTTGCTTCCGCCCCTTTGTCGGAGGTTTCGGAGTTGCTGGTGATGCGTTTCTTGCCGGTGGTGGGCGCCGGCGCTTTCCTGAGCTCCTTGGACACAAGGGATGAAACCCTAAACCCTAAACCCTGAACCCCCAAACCCTAAAATGAGCTACGACTTCAGGATGAGTTTAGAAGGGTTTGTGCTTTTTTTTTTTGTGGGGGGGGGGGGTTGGTTAGAGTTTTTAGGTTTGTAAGGTTGCTTTGCGTTTTGGAGTTTGAGGGTTTAGGGCCTTCGGGCTCAAGAAGAAGCCTGAAGCAGTACCACACTGATTCGTGGGTCAGGACTTCTTGTTACAGGATATCGGATATCTGGTCATGCGCACCAGGCTACACCATCTATGTTCGCCTTCGGCTGGCTGCATTGGTTGCGGAGATGTTTGGCGGCTGCCTCAGATTCCCCCGGAGTGACTGGGCCATGTCCCCTGTGTCACGAGGCCACGATGCAGAGGATCCCGATGTTCAGGCACGAGATGACCGTCCCTAAACCCGAAACCCTAAACCCGAAACCCGAAACCCTAAACCCGAGACCCCAAGCTGCCCTCAACCTCAAAGCAGCGCCTGGGCAGGGCCTTCTCTTCTTCTGCGTGCTGCCGGCCGGGAATGGGCCCGAGGAGGCTCCAAGCGCAGATCCAGGCGGGCTCTGGCCTTGAGACATCTTCTGGAGCAAGAGCTTGCAGCTGCAATGATCCCCTAAAACGCATATAAATCCCTGAACCTTGAACTAAACTTGAACAACAGATAACAACAGCGACTGAACGACTCTACAACCCCAAAACCCTAGGTCCTAGGTCCTAAACTCTACCGCAGGCACGCCGGGCAGTGTGGACGATGCTTTCGTTGGCCCTGCTGCCGGTGACTCCACGGGCGGCAAAACGCCAAGCACCGCCGTGCGAGCGGCCAAGGGCCTCGGTCATGGCCTGGCACGGCAGGTTCTTTGGGGTCGGGCGTTTTATGTTTCTTTTTCTGGTCTTGGTTTGGGGATCGTATCAGGGGTACAGTGCATGAAGTTCAGATCCTTGGAACTAGGATCTCGCAATTCAGGGTCAGGGTCTCTACGAACTTCCAACCCTAAACCCCTAAACCCCTAAACCCCTAAACCCTAAACCCTAAACCCTAAACCCTTCTTCCGAAGGTGGTGCAGCGATCCACCGGGTGGCGGAGCGCTGCCGTCTGGGGCTCAGGTTCTCGTTGCCACACGGGGTTTCGATCAGAGTGGACCATGTAGCGGTTCCTTATTATAAGGCTTTAGGGTTTAGGGTTTCGGGTTTAAAGTTATAGTATAATATACCCCCAAACCCTATTCTAAATATCAAGGCCCCTGCTTGGAGGTTCATGGGTAGCTATAAAGTGGGGTTATAAGTCCCCTACTATGGGTTATCACTATAGTTACCCGACTTATAACCCCACTTATAACTACCCAAAAAAACCTCCAGGTATCGGGGTCCAGGACTCTTGATGTGCATATGCTGAGGATCTCTACGATTTGGCGGCCGCGATCTGTTCTGAGCGTACTGCAGCTGACGGTCAGGACGGAACTCTCCAGACATGGCCGCCCTCTCTGGGACTTTTCCCCAAAAATCCCCCCAGAAACCCAAAAACTCTTACCTGCACTACCTTGCGACCTAAGCCCTCAGAATCTCTAGATCTCCCTGAACCCTAAACCCTAAGCCCTAAACTTCCTAAACCCCAAACCTGGTACGGGCAGGCTTTTGGAGGCTGCGACGCGGAGCCACTGCACTTTAGAAAAAAAAGCCTAAACCCCACCTGTAACCGGAAAGACCCACATTTTTAGGGTTCCTTGTTATGGTTTCTATATATAGCTCCTTAAAAAGGTAGGTCTTTTCTGTTACAGGTAAACCCTCAGAATCTCTGGACCGGCGCTTGCGGCAGGATGCAGAAGGACCTCTGGTGGCAACCGTCCGCAGGCTGGCTTCCCGTGGAAGTTCGGTCTCTTCGACAATCCAGGTCGAATTATAGCATACTGTAGTGTTTTTGCAGTATGCTATAATATATCATAGTATCTTATAGAATATTATACTATATTCTAGTATATTATAGTATATTATAGCACACCAGGGTATATTATAGTATATTCTAGTATATGACCAAGGCTCAAGGCTCCTTAAGCTTCCTTCTGAAGGGAGGGGCTGTGACGGGTTCCTTCACGCCCTTGATCCCGAGCGGGTTGCCGTGCACCCCCAAAACCCTAAACCCCAAACTCCTAAACCCAAAAACCCTAAACCCCGAAACCCCAAAACCCCGAAACCCCAAACCCCGAAACCCCGAAACCCGAAAACCCTAAACCCCAAAACCCAAACCCTAAACGCTAAGCCCCGAAACCCCTAAACCCCGTAAAGCCACCCCTTGTTGCCAGGGCAGCCCTGCTTTTTCAGCCCTCCAGAGACTCTGGGTCTGCCCATCCGGCGGCTCTGCTTTGCTTTAGGATTTAGGGGTTTAGGGGTTTAGGGGTTTCGGGGTTTAGGGGTTTAGGGTTTAGGGTTTCAGCTGAGCTAGGTCTTATGTTTGGGGGCTTCTAAGTCTCAGATTGGGGCTTAGATTGGGATTTCTAAGTTTTTATACTTGGGTTTAGGGGGTTTTGGGATTTATTTAGGGTTAGGGTGCATGGATGTATCACGAAAGCTAGCTCTGTGGAGCTTGCGGGAGTTGTCGTTTACCATTCACTTAGGTAAGAGAGATCTAGGTCAACAGCGCACGCAGGACCTTGTCTGGTCCGTTTTCAATAGTTAGAGAGTGGGGGCCCTCGTGCCACCACGGAAATGATTGTTTCAGAGCAACTAAGGAGTGGCCCCCCTCCCACCACCACAAGGTCCCTGCAACATTGAACAAGGTAGGTTCTTTGGGTTGAGCCTCAAAACCAAGTTTCAAGCGTCTCTGACTGAAAAACTATAGATTTCTTCTAGAATGTAAGCCCAATTCCGTTAAAGAAACCAGATTTCCCGCGATTCAAGCTCGCAAAGACAGCCAGCGGCTGCGTTGTTAGTGTGTGCTCCATACTGGCAGAAAGAATCCAGCAAAGCTTGGTTGAAAACTTCACTCGTAAAGCATGAGCCGGCTGCCACATTCAGGCTGCCCACGCGCGGCTCTGCCAGCTCGCTCCACCAGCTGTGTAGTGCGCGCCTGGGCTTACAGTTCAACCGACTCTGCCGACGTACTTGCCACACCGCCGGCTCCATCCTAGTTTTGCATGCCCTATGTGTTGTCCGGCCCGGCGCCCAAAGAGGCATCATGATGCTCCAGGGTCGCTCTCGGTTGGCAATCTATGCTGACCGGGCTTGGCCGCAGCTTCTCCAATGGCGTCGTGATTTGGAGCATGCTACTTTGCGCACAGAATTGCCTGGTTGCAGAGGCCAAGGGAAGTCGCCACGTGTGGACCAACCGCTGTGGCTGGCCGAATATCCGAGAGCCCGTGGGGCAGTCATTTGCTCTGCGCAGCGCAGGCCACTGGAAGTCGAGGATGTGCAGTTCTTAATGTGTGAACTGAGCAAAAGAGCTAGCAGCGTGTTGCTTGGCCGGCCCAGGTCCACGTGACTCCATATGCACTGGTTCTGGCGGCTCCATTTCCTCCCTTTGCTTGGAAACTGTTCGTCCTAGGGTGCGTGGCCGTGGCGCACCCTGAAGATAGAAAATCAAGACAAGGTTACACAAGACATACGTCTCTGGTCTGAAAGGAGCTCTGCCAAACACTGCCGCCGGTGTAGACACGCATGCACGAAGCTGCTGCTTCGCACTCTAGCCCAAACCCCCCGGAACCCCGAAGCTATAAAACACTTGACGCCACAGACTGACTAACATAACCAGCAAATCACAGCAGTCTTCAAGCTCGAGATGTCATTGGCTTGAATGCGACAGCCCTAAACGGAAATACAAAACCAGCATAAGTAAGTACTATGAAAAAATAACACTAGAATCTGCAATTCCTTGCAACTATACACACATCCCATACAAAACATGCCCAAAATCATGAAATACTTACTATGAGAATAACCAACACAATAAAGCCAACAAATCCCGGACTAATCCTATGGACTTCCAGACCCTTCTCATAAATCAAAATCACAAAGCCTTCGAGACTTGAGATCCCAGCCTAGCAAACCGGCAAATGACCGCAATTTTCAAGCACGAAATAACTTATACTTTAATCCTCAAACCCTACAGTGGCGTATTTTCCTGCCTGGAATCAAACCCACAGAGAGCATGTAAACAAACTTACACTTGCTACCCAACAAACCTCGCGACATCCCCTGCACTTTGACCACCGACAATCAGCTAAGCTTCCGCGCAGGTGAGGCTACCCCAGCAGTCTGAGCGAAAAAGCTGCAACATGCTCTTTGCAGTCGTTTGCTCTAGCTTTCGTAGCCCAGTTCTCAAGAAAGTTTTTATGCTAGGGTTTATAGGTCTTTATATCTGGGGCTTTTTGGGCCGTTTATTTGGCTTTATGGGGCTCTATATCAGGGTTTGTACGGTTACAGGTCTTATCTCGTGGTTTAGAATAATGGGGTTCGTGAGGGCTTATGTTGAAGTTATAATGCTGAGGTTATTAGGGGTTCATAGCGGGGGCTAACGGGTTTCATAACGGGTTTTCGGGTTTTATTTGGGGCTTTAGGGTTTCATCATGGGGTTTCAGGTTTTCATTCTGGGCCTTGGTGTTCAAAATGGGGTTTAGTCAGACTCGAAGGGGTTTAGGGTTTGGGGGTTTAGGGTTTAGGGATTGAGGGGCTTAGGGTTTAGGGGTTTAGGTCTAGGGTTGACCATGGAGTTTAAACATCGGTTCCGGTGCTGTACTTTGTAGGGTTCACATGAAGGCTTTGTATGTATTGCAATGGGGCCATCATCTCCAAACCGCATGCCTGGAACCCCAAACCCAAATCCCACCCAAAAACTCTGCAAACCCAAAACCCACAAAAAATCCACACCCAAAAACCCACCAAAAAAAGCTCTGAAAAACCACCAAAACCACACAAAAAATTTTGAAGTCTCAACTTCGAAGGCCCTTCCCCCAGCGCTTTCGGTTTCAGGCCCTCCTGGGTCTGCTGGGCTTCGGGGCAGCGGCCCCAACGCTGCTGGCCCTGGCGGGGGACCCGGATCCTGCAGCACCGGGTTTCCGCTTGTCGAGGCGAAAAGCATGTCTACAAGGTTTAGGGGTTTAGGGGTTTGGGGGATGAGTGGTTGGACTCGCTATCAGGGTAGAATAGAAGCAGTACCTTGCAAGGGGCATCAAGGACAGTCGCCGCTGTGCACCAATCGCACTATGTATCAGCGGAAGTCCATGTCACAAAAAACGGATGAGTCTCACCAGCAGCATGTGGTCGTGGTTGTCGTGGTGGTGGTGGGCCCTACGCCCAAAATCCGACACCCTGCAAGCGTCGGCCCCCAACCCCCAAGCTACTAAACCCGACCATCTTGGGAACTCTGAATCCTTCTGTGGGACGAGGCCTTCCAACTCCTGCAGCTTTCCTCGCCGCTGCTGGGTGGCCTCGCAGCTCCCGTGCTCCTCGCACTTGGCCGCAACGGAAAAAGCCGGGAGCGTCCGAAGATTTCGGATTTTGGGCCTTTCGGGGTCAGAGTTTACGGGGTGTTAGGCGGTTTTGTGTAGGGGGTTTCAGGGTTTAGGGTGCTTAAACCCGACACCTCAAGGCAGTCCTGGCGATCCTGGTGGCTGTGGTCGTGTTGCTGAAACTGAGCTGCAGGCAGCATAGGCCTTCTGCCCTCCCCCCTCGCCCAACTTGCGCTCTCCCAGCAATCTCGTCTTGCCGATTGTCACGGCAACTTCAAAGACCTCCGGATTCCTTTTTGGGTGTAAAGACCTCCAGAGTCTTTTTTGGGTGTAATCCTTTCCCAAGGCGTTGGCAGCTCTTGGACGCCTTCTCCGAGCAGCCCGAGTTGGTGACTTCTTCGGTGTTTCTCGTGCAGGCTCTGCTACCGCGGGCTTCTCAGACCGGATGCCGACCCCAAAGAGCCCCATTGACCCCTCTAGTCATGATAGGTCGGGATCCCTTTTTGTAATTGCCCCTCAAAGAGTTAAACATCGTTTCACTCATGAAGATCCTTCTTTTTTTTCTTTAGGGCGCAGTTCATTACTGGAAGGGGTAGAGCGGGCCCTGGGAAAAACAAGGTAACGCCACGCGAAACGACCCGCGCGATAGCACGAGCGTTTTTGAAGGCAAAATTGCAGTTTTACTGTGGTAAAACGCTGATTTCTGGATTATCAGGTCTTGTTCTGGAGAGACATAGTCGCGCAACCTCGAAAGTTTTCGGGGCTTGCTTTC